GAGCGAAACTCTGTCTCAAAAAAAAAAAAAAAAAAGAAAGAAAGAAAGACAGGGTATAAAACAAGTGATGGGAATTACAGGTCAAACTGCTACTTGGCTCCAGAAAATTGTTGCCATGTGGTAATGCAAGACCTTTGTTCCAAATCCTGAATTTTCAAAAATAAAAATTCCAGACACAAAATTTGTGTCATTTCTCCATTTCAACACACACACACACACTGCAGCACATGCATAAACACAATGAGCATGTGCAGTAGCCTGAAGACTCCACACATGTGCTTATGCACCTCATCTCTCTTCCCCTAGACTTGTTTTGCTTCTAAAATTATGTATGATTATGTACATACTCCCATGTACAGGTGGCTTTTAGGAACATTTGTCAGAACAACCCTCTTCTGGCCAAACTTGATGTCTGAGCCCTAGAACAAACCACCATGATTCGGGAAAGCAAAGAGCTGAGATGTTCAGTGGGATACCAACTACATCTGTGCCAGACCAATGAACAGACCCCGTGCTGACGTCACGCAGTGGCAGCATTGCTGGAATCATCAATAGGCTTCAGCAGTCTTTGTTAGAGACTGGTGTCATAATTTCAATTGCAGCCCTGGCAGCAACAGTAAGTCACTACCATGAGTCCAAGCTGCTACTCATAAGAGAAAACAACGTATTAGTTCATGAAACGCGTAACACACCCCAAGGGAATTAGGTGGAAGTTGTCTGGGGATGTAAAAAATTTTAGGTGAGGGTAAAGCTAGACAAATAATATTCTAAGAAATACAGTTATGTGCCATGTTAAAACATGCAAAATACACTATAAACCTGATTATATAATTACATACACATGTAGCAAAACACTGAAACACTAACAAGAATGACAAATTTCAAGTTAGTGGTTTGACTGTGGGAAATGTGGTCAGGGAAGGGCATACAGGTGGCTTCAATCATATCTATTCTCTAAAGCAAATATGGAAAAATAGTATGTCAAAGCTGGGGAAACTTCGTAAGAAAAAAAATTAAAGCAAAGGAAAAAGGAAACACTATTCTCACCTTATCATCATCATACTACTGTGGTATCGGTACATTTACATTTACTATGCAAATGTAAAACCTCATTTGCTATTGGTATCCCCAATGTACTGTCTTGGAGTTAGACATCAAAGTATTGGATGGAAATAATTGTTTACATATTTAAGTAAACATTTGTTGGAAATATTTCCAGGATTTCCTCAACCAAATGTGACAGGCTTGTTAACTACTGAATGCAAATACTATTTTAGCTGTTTTCTACCCTCATGATCTTGTGATGCAAATGTTACTACAATGAACACATTAAAACAACGCACACAAATTTCTAGCATCTTAAAATTCACATCAGGAACCTTTAAGTGCATATGCCAATATACTCCTCTCCCTGAAATTCCCGTTCTACTCACCACCTAGCTTACAAAAAAAAAACATTTGGTCACACTCAAAATTAAGACTCTTAAGGCATTTCCTTCATTGCAGAATGTGCAATCTCCATAATTTCTTGAAACATACATAGGGAAACTCCTCCAGCTGAGGAATTCTATTGCGGGGGGGGGGGGGTCCCAATGTATAAGAGCAGGTCTCCCTTGGAGAAATGAGAATTTACTTATTTGATTAAACATGATCACTTAACTTTTAAAAGAAAATCTTAAATTTCCCAGTAACTTCATAAAATTTGCTCGATGGCAAAGTATACAAAAGCACCCAAGGAAATACTGTGCAAAACTTTCTTTTGATTCTAAAAAGTTTAAAGTTTTCAAGTAAAATGTATCCTTAAGTCAAAGTAGCTTGATACCCTCATATATTTATCTACTTATTACATACAATTAAGTACATTTTAGATTAAAATAGCACAAAAAGTTTGCTCCCCACAACCGTAACTTCTAACAAACCTCTAGTTCTTGAAACAAAAAATGTACTAAGGTTAGGAATTATTGCTCAAAAATAGCGAAGATTGCAATTACTTACCATTTCAACCCTCCACACGAAAAAAATCTGTATATTTCCTCAGGGTTCTTAAGTGCCTATATTACATAACAATTTTTGTTCTTTATAGAATTATAAACAGTATCAAGAATGTAGACCACAAATTATAAAAAATAAAACACTTGGTTTAATCATTAAATCTTAAAGACCATTAGAAAAGGCCACATTCTATTCTCCAGTCTTGAAGGTTACATAAGCCATTTCCATAAATTTTACAGTAATACATTTTAGAATTGTTCACGTTAATTTTGTTCACAGACTGAGATAGTTAATGGGCAGTTTATTTCTTCTCAATTCTTCAGGAGATAAAGGATGAAAGAAGTCTTAGAAAATTTAGACGAAGAGTTTTAAAGACTTCACAAATAAACAGTACTCGCTGTAAAGTGGAATCAAAAGCATCACAAAATTGCCATACTTACTGTTTGGGAGGAGTTAAAATTTGACTTTAATCAGGGCACAAGCCATTTTCTTCATATGGTAGATTACAATGGTTAGGAGCACAGGCTCTAGGATCAGATCATCTAGATCCCACTTTCTCTGTTACTTAACAGCTGTGTAGACTTGAGCAAACTGAAACTGTCTAAACTTGTGTCCCCTGTTCCATACGATGGAGATAAGTATCTATTTCACAAGTTATCAGTGATGACAAAATGAGCTTACATAAAACTAAGACCTGGCACAGTAAAAGCATGTTGAAAACATTATACTTGAAAACCACCTTTTGCTTTGAGAAATACATGATGGATAAAATAAATTTCTTAGGTAGGTGGTTATTCTGGGTGTCAGCAAAATAGCAATAAATACTGAAGTCCGTATTTTCTTAAATCGCCTTTTTGCGTTGACAGCTCATTTATTCACAAGTCAAAAATCTTTAGTGGTATTCCAGCAATCCTAACAAGCATAGCTTTTATATTAAGCAATACCTAACAGTGACGCCTGCAATTAAAAAAAAATAATAAGTATTCTAAAGCTTCCCTGTATTGTTGGAGTCAAGTCTTAATTAAATCTACTTCCTATCTGCCTTTGGCATTTAAAAGCCTATGTAAAGCAACTGTCTGGCCAATGATTGGAGCTCGAAAAAAAAACACTACCATGCCAGGTCTCCACCCGAGACCAATTAGGTATCTCTGGGGGTGCTTCAGGCAACAGTTATTTTTTATGTTCATTAAGCTCATGAGTTAATGTACTAACATAGTTGAATATCACTGCTACAAAAGTTATCTCAGTAACTTCCTATATACCTTCTTTCAAGATGGGTGTTATACATAGAACTGGAAGAAATGAAATTGAGTTTTAAAACAAGACACATGGCAATAGTAGGGTATGCACAACTAGAAGAGAATTATTAGGAGGCCAGGCCAATCAAGTGTTATGTTATAAAATGTCCATAACCTTAAGAAAGTGAATACAAAGCAAAATGCTTTTGCAGTCGCATTTATACTTGGTTTTCAATAAACCAGAGAAATTAAGTGGAAAAAAATAGAAGAACAACTTGTAATTAATGATAATGCTTAAAGAACATTAACATTATAGGGAAATGAATAAAATGTTCCCAGCAATTTGATGCTGCTTAAAGACATTGGCATTTTTTTGTAATTTATTTTCCAAAAATTGCCTGAAGTGTACACACTATTTCTACAATCAGAAGTGTAGGAAGGGGAAGACAAAGTTTCTTTTTCCTTAGTGATGTACATTTGCATCAACCCAGGGATGGTTCGATATTCATTCCCAATTATTTGCACCAACCCAGGGATGGCTCGATATTCATTCCCAAGATGCCACTGCTTCTGCAAAGAACTCCCCAGAAGCATGGCCTCTACCAAAACTGGGCTACAAAATGTGGAATAAAAAATCAGCTGCTCTCGCTTCCTACTAAAAAAATAACTGTCTCACTGCATAAGAGACTATCTACCTACCTTCAGAACTTAAGTCCCAGTCAGTGACTAGCTATTAATGCTTAACAGAATATAAATGCACAAACCATCACAATCTGCTGAAATTGTATCTGTATTGTGAAAAGGACACTTCATATTTTTAAACAGTTTATTCACGAATAGTTTTAATTTTTTTTGAAAGCTAGAAAATAAAGATCATTTATTTATCTTCTGCTTTTGTTTTTCCAAATGGTAAGCACTGACCTTTCCCTCTAACAAAGGTGAAATTTTTTAAATCTCAGTGAATGGGAACGTGCAAAGCTCTAAGGAAAACTATTATTTGAATGTCTCTAAAGCGGTAGATCACAATTGGGGAATACACCCTCACGAACTATTTTTCTTACCCTACTGTTAAAACTTGTTTTCAAAGTGGTACAATTTGAAAGATTACAGTTCAAAACTAATTCCCATACCAAATAACAACAACTTTAGGTGAACATCTGGGCTAAATATTTGAAAGAGTATTTTTCTTGGCTGGGCACGGTAGCTTACACCTGTAATCCCACACTTTGGAAGGCTGAGGCAGCCGAATTCAGGTGTTTGAGACCAGCCTGGGCAATATAAAACCCTGTCTCTACTAAAAATACAAAAATTAGCCAGGCTTGGTGGCCCACACCTGTAATCCCAGCTACTCAGGAGGCTGAGGCATGAAAATTGCTCGAACCCAGGAGGCAGAGGCTGCAGTGATGCAAGATCACACCACTGCACCCAGCCTGGGCAACAGAGTAAGACTCTAAAACGGAGAGAGAATTTTTCTTTGATCAGAATTTCTGGAATTTTATACATTTTTCTTCCAAGTGTCTCTCTTTTTTTTTTTTTTAAGGGAACATACCACACACTCGGAACATAGTTTCTTAATTTTTCATAAATACAAGAATGGAGAAAGTTACGGTACATTAGTTACAGAACGAAGGAAGCTAGTGCATTCAAAGTCACATATGAACTTAAGGCCTTAGTTACTTGATTGTAATTTCAGTATTATCAACAGTTGTATTTCCCTCATGCTTACATACACGAGTAAGCAGGTAGACAAATCAAAAACTTCTAAACATGTAAGGAATGAAGATAATTTAATCTCTATATTATCGAGTCAATAAATACAGTCGGACTTTCAAACTGTCAATGTTGGTAATAAAATGATCTGATCACATTTCATAAAGCGATTAAAAATAACAGAAACAAGAGTCTGGCCTATACAATCAGAGCATCTCCTGATATGAAGAACAGTTAAGACCACATACAGATGCTAGCCAGACTACAATCTATCTCAAAACCAACCATGGCATAATGCATTTTATAAAATGCCTACCTAAAAATACATTGTATTTTGTAAAGTTTATTTATTAATAATGTGGGAGGCATGTCTAGCCTAAACACTATAACCAAACTGTATTCAACAGTAAGCCAGTAGTCTTATGATAGGAAACTTCACATGCTTATTATAAACAGCATCTTATATTCATTAATTCAGCCACTCTCAAATTATGACAATTTTTTCCTAGTTACCAGAAAAGACACTGAGTTAGAGTCCACAGGCCAGATTTCTAGCTCCAGCTCTGCCTCTACCTGTGAGACACAGGGAAAGTTCTCTTAACCTTAAGGCCTCAGATTTCTCAACTATAAAACAAAGGGGCTGAACAAAATGAATTCTAAGGAGCATTCCCATAAAACGGGATTTGGATAAATTTTCAAGAACTTAATTTCTTTTAAAAAAGATAGCTATGATAGATACAATGCTTGACACTTGTCACCAATAATGTTGATTATGTAACAGCGTTAAGCCAAGGAATTACTGATTCTGCATTTATGGGGTGAAAATATGACGATTTTTAGCATGCTTTTCCAGTTACCAGAAAAGGGGACGGGGGATTTTTACAGACACTAAAGCACACAGGAGTGGAAATACTCCCAGAAGCACAGCATGCTAGTAATGGAGAGGCGTTACTTGTGTTTCTTTTTAGCAACTTTTGCACACAAGCAAGAGGTTTTATAAACGATACCACAGAGCACAGTAATACAACATATGTGATCTGACAAATTCAAAATACAGTTGAAATGAAAAGGTAACCAAATATTTCAGAAGACTTCACTCTTCTATAAAATGTGTACACAGACCTGGGCCTAAAATACTTCACTGCACCACATCCAGTTCTAAAATCCAGTTTCCTTTTCAGGTAGAGTGCAACTCTTTAAAAAATAACCAACATCTATGTTTAATAAAAATTCACCTGTACTAGACTGTATGAAGCTAAAATCTGAATCTATTTTGAGATTCCAAAATTTTCTATCCTAGTATCAATAAAATGAAGACGTAAGACTAAGTGCAGGAAAGTATCAGACCCTGTAACGCATACTTACACTGAAAATGTGTTTCACGTGGTTAACATTTAAAAAGGATAAAATCATTTTTCATAAAGAAAATTCCATAGGCTTGCTCAGTTTTACCAAACTTCCATAATGAACATTATTTTGAGTGCCAAACTGGGTGGGGAAAAAACACCTTTTAATTATTATTATGAAATGTTACAAATAAGACTTATTAGACTGGTTAAAAAGCACTACAAAACCAAGGAGAGTTAAATATTCCTTGAGAACATACTCTCAGAACTTGTTATGAATGGGGCAAATCAGATTACTCTGAACACATCAACTCACTGAAATCACCTAACTTCTATTCTCGTGGACCTTATTTTCTATTATCTTGAAAACAAACTTATTTTCTATTATCTTGAAAACAAACTGTAATCCCCCAAAATACTAGTAATACCTTGAAATTTAATCAACTCCTTTCCTTAACAGAATTAGGAGTTTTGATTAAAAATACTGTAATATCTGAGAGGGTTTCAATGCAAGAGAAACCTTTGCATCATAATGTCAAGTGACCATATATAGTGGACTCCCCTCTAATAACACGACAGACACAAACAAGCTACCAAGCAAGAATCTGTTAACAGTTTTATTATTTTTTTATGTTAAATACCATGGGACAGGATTGTAAGGATGAAAAACTCAGTCAACAACTGCCTCACAAGGGATAAGAAAAATTCTGCCATGATATTAGCAAAGGTAAAGGAGAAAAAAATTTACACTGTAAGAGGCACCATTTCCCCACGGAATACCTCTTGGCATTTCCTGAATGAGTGGGATTAGCAATCTAAATAAATCATATTTCAAGAGGTAACAGCAACAGATAAAATTTAAAGGGATTATTAAAATAACATTTACAAGACTCTGAACAATTATTGAACTCTTATTAAAACCACAAAGAAAGAACAATTCTTTATTTATGAATTTCATAAAGGACTGAATGTGCAACTGACATCTGCTAGTGATGATCTGGTAATATACAATTTGTCCAGTAGCCGAACAGTTTGTTTTTATTGTGTTTTCTAACCGTAAGAGATCATTAAAGGCAAAGCCTATATGACGCTGTACACACAAAAAAATGGTCACCGCGGGCCATACTACCAATGAAATGGTAGGTAAACAAATCTTTTTCTGGTCAAGAGAAAAAAAAGAAATAGCACTCTGCATGCTTCACTCTACAAGATGAATTTCCCTAGAAAGAATCCAATGAAAATGGCTGCAATTACGACAAGAAGTGATGGAAGAGGACTGGTGACATTATCTCTGAAGGATGCAGCTGAGGTTGATCCAGGTTTATCCGAATGTGCTACCTTTCTGAGCCTTAAACCTTCATCCTAGGAAAAAAAAAAAAAAAACATACACACACAAGAGGTTTTTAAAAACAAGCTTCTAACAAGATTACTGAAGCTAAAAATCTACAGGGATGGAAAGTAGATTAGTGGTTGCCCATGGCGGGGGACGGAAACAGGGATTAACTGCTAACCACAAAAGGAAAGTTACTGGGACTGATGGACACATTCTAAAACTGAGTATCTATAGTGATGGTTGCAAAATTCTATACATCAGTGAATTGTACACTCACAATGGGTGTCTCTATGGGATATAAATTATACCTCAATAACACTGATTTTTTTAAACTGAAGCTGAGAAATGTATTCCTAAAATACAAAAGTCAGATCTAGTTATATTTACATTTTTTTAAATCCCACTAAAAACACAATTAAAAAAGAGTTCTATACACTTACTTCCAAGGTGGCCCACAGTATTTAAAATCAGTTGCATCTGTCCCAGCCCAGTCAGTCAAAACTACCAAATCTGTAGTTTGCCAGTTGTGTTTACTGGCCTACTGCAACTGAGGAACCAGAACAGCAGAGGCACAAGGGGATATTCTTGCCAAAAACAGAGATACGGGTATCCCAGAATTTGGGGAAAGGAAGAAACAGCTTAGCATGAAATTTAAGTAACAGTGTTTTCATATGCTCAAAGCAAAGCAAACGGCTGTGTGTAAAGCAGTAGCACCAGGTCAGGACTGGAAAGCAGACAAATAATACTATTTCTTCAGAAACTAAAAATTTAGATGAGAAATGTATATAAGAACCCCTTATCTGAAGCTCTGCACCTGGACTGGAAACTGAGGGTGCTTCTCTGTGTCAAAATGACCGAGATCCTCCAGGCAAGAATGGGGTGCTTCTTTCTTACTGATAGGGCTTCACACAGCACTGTCTTTAGAGGACAAGGTTTCTCAGAAGAAAGCAGAAGTCACTTCAGGCAGGAAGTTGTTATACACCGTGTGCAGTGTGAACCTTGGGGAAAATGCTAATACCTGTTAACTATGCAGCGGGCTTTATCTGTGTCTGTTATCCAACCTGATGAATGGCAGGGCTGATTTTTACTTTTTTCAGTGCAAGGCAAAATGTTCTCCCACGATTCCCTCATTGTGCTTATAAATAAACACTAACTAAAAGAGTACACCTAATGGCAGTTTTATTTGCATTATCGGATTTTCTGGAATTGGGTTTAATTAGTCCTGTGTAAAAACAGCAGTAATTCTCAGTTTCAGCTATCTTTCACAAACATCTGCAGAACTTTTAATACTCCTGTGATTCTGATTCACTAGGTCTGAAGAGGGCCTGGTAAACTGTAATTTTTTAAAGCTCACTGGGTGATTCACATGCAGTATGAATTACGAACCACAAGGCTTTTCATGCTGCTGATCAAGACAAAAGTTTAAAAAAAAAAAAAACAGGACTAAAGGAATTAAAAAGAACAGTGAACAGGCAGAAGCAAAAAACTTAACCTGAAAAAAATTATGATGGGTCTATGAATAAAATACTAAAGAGTTTGAAATAAATTATTGAAGCCAGTGGGTCTTCGAAGTGTGTGTGTTTGTTTTTGCGACGAAGTTTCACTCTTATCACCCAGGCTGGAGTGCAATGGCGTGATCTTGGCTCACGTGCAACCTCCGCCTCCTGAGTTCAAGTGATTCTCCTGCCTCAGCCTTCCCAGTAGCTGGGATTATAGGCGCCCACCAGTATGCCCAGCTAATTTTGATATTTTTAGTAGAGACAGGTTTTCATCACGTTGGCCAGGCTGGTCTCAAACTCCTGACCTTAGGTGATCTACTCAGCCCCCCAAAGTGATAGGATTACAGGCATGGGCCACCGCTCAAAAGTTTTTTATGTCTTATTTTTCCAACAGCACAATTCTCTCTCAAAATCTCATACAGCATATAATCTCATCAGCATATAAAAAGTAGAAACCGGGAATAAATTCTCTCTCACCTACTTCCTGTTTGCTCTTCCTATTTTTCAGCCCTGCCCCACCTGTGTGTCATTCCTATTGTTTCCACTTCTCCCCTCCCTGGCAGAGGTCAACAGTGGCTTCTGAAATAAATCTATTGAGCACCCTAATGAGCACATCTTTATCAAAGAACTGTGGAAGTCATGTCAGATAGAGTAAAAGTAACAAAATCCTTTGAAAGATCCATGGTATGTAGGTATGAAATAAAGACATTCTTTCTACTATCCAGACAGGTGCTTGGAAGCAGAGGGGTAACCCTCGAGGGAGTACTATGAAATATTAAATATGAAGATACATATTCACTTTAAAAAGCATTTGAGCAAAGAGAAGTTCACAGATCAACTTAAAACACAGTGACTTTAATCCAGAGTGTAGTTCCTACATACACCTACCAAAAAGAATAATCAAATAACTTCTATCATTTAACTTTAGTTACATACATTTTTCTAACATCTACTTTGCTGCAAAGAGCTTCAAACAAAGCTTAAAGAGCAATGTATAGGTTTTCAGGTCTTGAAACAAGTAATTACTTGTCAAAGACAAATTATTCATAAAGTTCAGACATACTCAAATCAGTCCTCCTTCACCATCCATTTATTCATTCAAATATGTGAATGACTACTACATGCATGTACTGTGAATGCAGAGATAAATGAAACACAGCCCTTGCCCCCAAGGAAATTACTGCCCACTAGAGGGAGAAAGGCCTCTAACAAGTAAGAAATAAATGAAATTGGCATAGTGGAGACACAAAGCAAACAGGCCAAATTGATTTTTTTTTTTTTCTTTTTGAGAGAGAGTCCGACCAAAGGCTATACTGAAACGATGACAACAACTTAGTAGCAAAACATCAATGTGTGTATGTCCTGTGTCAGGAGGGACAGGGTTCCAGGCCATTCCAGTCACTGTGCAGAGCTTACACTAAAGCAAAAGATAAGTATTAAACAGCTTCTTCTCCAGCATACTCTAGCCCAATGCTGCCCCATGCAAACATAATGTGAGCTGCATACGTAACGTTAAATTTTTCCAAAAGTACATTTAAAAGTAAAAAGAAATGGGTAAAATTAATTTTATATTTTATTCAACCCAATATACCTAAACTACTAGTTCAATATATAACGATAAAAAAAGATTTTACCTTTTTCTGTACTAACTCTTCAACTTCAGTTATTTTACACTCACCGCATAGCTCAATTTGAACAAACCCCATTTCAAATGCTCAACAGCCCTAAGTGACTCATGGCTATAATGTGAGAAAACACAATCCTAGGCAGTTCAGTATTACTGGGGCACAAAATGGGAAGAACAGGAGAAACAAGAGTGGAAGATGGCAATGCCACAGGCCAGATCACAAACAATTAGAATGTGTGCTAAGGTAAGGAACTTGCACCAGTGAGAAAACACAGGAAGACTGGTAAAAAGAGGAGTAGGATGGGGAGCAAAAGCCAGGACATAATCAAACTGGGGAAAAGAAGAAAGAACTGACCAAGGATAAATTTAAAAACTAATTGCTAAAATGGCCTAATAACACTCACATGACATGTCCTATACCTTCAGATTTCAATCAACTTATTTTCAACCAACAGAACTTACTCTCAGGTGTCGATTTTCTTCTGATAGCTTCATCATTTCTCCCTGAAGTCTTTTACACTCTTCCATTAGTTTCCTTGTTTCAGTATCATTAAGTGAAACACTGTGTGGTTTTGGCATAGGTCCATCTTGTTTAGACGCATTCAGTGGAACAGCTTTGCTAGGTTCCATGTCATTCTGTATTACAAAGATATTGGGAATTTTTTAACTAACCAAATCTTACAGGTTTTAAACAAATAGAAACATAAATTCTACATCTTTGTTTCTGAAATATTCTTTAAAAGACCTAAATCAGTACATGTCAGCAGTCAGATCAGTCTAAATAAGGAGCCCACTCCCTCCACTCCCATAATCCCTGGCACGTACCTCTACCATAGCACTTTATTATGTATCTTAATAATTACTGTTGAAGTTCTTTCCTATAATACTTCAAAGGCTGGGAGAGCAAGAGCCATCTCTCTTTGTTATTTACCCCTAAACTCAGCACTTTGGTAAAGAGTAGTTATTCAACGACAGTATGCTGAATGACTGACGTCAACAAAATCCAAATAAGAAGGTCATTTTCCATGCTCTGGTTCTGCAATTCAAATGAGGTTCTGTGGGGTAGGGGGATATTATCGTAATCATTCCAATAAAATCAGAAACTACCTAAAAAAAAAAAACATGCAAAGAAAGCTAACAGATTAATTCCACATCTTTGGTAATGCAGTTTGCTATAATTCACGTGATTCAACATCACAGTAGCACTTAGCATGTTTTCAAGACTATGAGCCCCAAAATCTTAATTCTCACCAACACTGAACCATTTGAAGCTAGTGTTGAAGGCCTGGAGATAAACATCTATGACAGTACCTAGGTATTTTTCCGCCTGTGGTCTAAAGTACCCCAACATCCTTCACTCTAACAGCATTTATGTCACCACATATCATAGCAGTATTACTGTAACAAGCTTTTTTCATTTTAATTAAATTTTTACTTGCTTTAAAATAATTGTAGATAAAAATCTGCTTTATTCAGCTATAAACTGCTAACAAACACATTTACAAAATCAACTTTATGGCATTCCACAATACTCATTTTGTTAAGATTTATCAGAGGCTGTACACCTACCACACCATCCCAGCTGACAAATTTATATTAGTATTAACCGATTGTTCAAAGGGCAAAACTTTTCTTATGAAGGGGATGTTATTTAATTAGTATGCTTAAATCCATGTAAAAATTAATCTGTTTTAAAATGAAAATGTACGATGAGGTTCAACAGGTGCGATAGCTCATTCCTGTAATCCCAGCACTTTGGGAGGCCAACGTGAACAAATCACCTCATGTCAGGACTTTGAGACCAGCCTGACCAACAAGAAGAAACCATGTTTCTACTAGAAATACAAAAATTAGCTGAATGTGGTAGCACGTGCCTGTCATCCCAGCTACTCAGGAAACTGAGGCTGGAGAATCGCTTGAACCCGGGAGGCGGAGGTTGCAGTGAGCCAAGATCACACCACTGCACTCTAGCCTAAGCAACAGTGAGACTCTGTTGCTTTAAAAAAAAAAAAAAATTATAATGACGTTCTCATGAACCACAGTATGTATTTGATCTGTTGGCAGATTCTTCCATTTTTCTTCAGACTTCCCAGTTAAGAAAGGGTTTAAAGAAGCCTACTTCAATTCTTTCTCTGAGCCTTTCTCTTGCTCCTGTATTATTAAAACACTGTTTCAGATACATTTTACTCTGCCAATACCTTTCCCTATTCCTTTCCTTAATAGTGAGAACTCATTTCAAAATGATTTTCAGTGTGGTCAAATTCTATCCCAGCACAAATCCAACTTTTGATAATGATCAGGTGGCACACTACCTTTCCTCTGTATAGGCGGTGGCCATAGGCGCCAATATAGCAACTGAAGAACTTGTAGGTTTTGGTCAGGAATTGGAAAAAAAAGTCTCATACTCATACCAGAAAATTGACAAAAAACTTAAAGAGGATGATGCAGGGCACCATGTCACACTCATGTAATCTGAACACTGTGGGAGGCCAAGATGGACAGCTGTGTGAGCCCAGGAGTTCAAGAACAGCCTGGGCAACAGAGGGAGACCCTGTCTCTACAAATAACAATTTTAAAAATTAGCCAGGCATGGTAGTGTGCACCAGTAATCTTGGCTACTCATAAGGCTGAGGTGGGAGGATCGATCACTTGGGCCCAGGAGGTATAGGCTGCAATGAGACGAAATCATGCCACTGTACTCCAGCCCAGGTGACAGAGTGAGATCCTGTCTTTTGGGGCAAAAACGATATACAAGGGGTCAACAGCAAAAAGAAAAAAACTAAAACGAGGAATCATCAAGCTCTTGATAACTGGATTTTTATTTTTAAATTCTTTAAACTGCATAAAATTATGAGGGGAAGGGAAAAAGTCATTCCCCATATTCTCATTAAATCAACAAAACTATTATTTACATTACTATTTTTTGACATACATTTTATAAAACTGGCATACATATTTGCTTGTTCATTTATATGCATATTTTTAATCATTTTAAATGGCATGTCATTAAATACTCTATTCTATGCCTTGCCAAAGTTAAACATTTCACTTTTGTCAAGCATTTGATGGGCAGCTTTCCATTCTTTCGAATTTTAAATAACATGTCCATAAGAAGATACTCTATAAAAAGATAACTAGACTGGAATTAGATTTAGATTTTTCATATTCTAATAGACTTGGAAATAAAATTTATCTAATTAAATACAATTAAATTTTTCTTTTTCATGGAATTTCTCTTAATAATGTTATACTATTTTTGTAACAAAAAGGAGAATAATAACCAACTTGTGGAGCATAAAGAGACTAGAATGCAAAGAACATAGTGAAGCCGAAACATACTTCAAAAGTGTGCCCAGTAAGTTATATCATGTACTACACCTAGGCCCCTTACAAACCAGTCAACATACATAACACGTGCAAGAAAATCTAATTTATTTACATATACTCAAAGTATAATAGCATATTCACCCTTATTGGGGGTTTATAAGGGGGTGGAGTGTGATGGGAGGGTGAGCTTTGAGTCATCGTGGAGTGACAATCCGAAGAGCCTGATGAAAAAAACTAAGCAGGTGTGACTTTAAGTATATGCTTCCATTCAGGACCTCCATTAGTGAGGTTTGGCTCCAATAAAACAGCTTGTTTCTTGAGAGTTGCTTCAAACTGGTCCAGAAAGAGAAGACTGACCATTCTGAGAACCATGAAACAAGCAAACTAGAGGGATTCAACATACTGTGACTCTTAGTTAACTGATCACTAGTAACATTATATTTAACACTGCAATTTAGAATAAGCTGGAAAGTCAAGGTGTGTATCAACTAAAATAAAACACTATACCAATCTTGTCCATTTTCCACTACATTATTTAGCCTATCTCCAGTAACCCTCCATCTATGAGTTGTCCAGTCATGCACCGTGTAACAACGTTTTGGTCAACAATGATCTATACATATGATAGTGTTCCCACACAATTATAATGGCACTGAAAAATTCCTATTACCTAGTGAGGTCACAGCACAACACATTATTCACACGTTTGTGGTGATGCTGGTGGTAAATATACACACTGTACTCCAGTCATAAATCGTCCACATACAATTTTTGTACAATACAGAATATTTGGTAATAAATAACTGTTACGGGTTAATGTATTTACTGCGCTATGCTTTTTATTATTCATTTTAGAGTATACTCCTTCTACTTATGAAAACAAAAAGTTAACTCTAAGTCAGACTCTAATAGGTCCTTCAGGAGGTATTCCAGAAGGCACTGTTATAGGAGATGACAGCTCCATGCGCGTAACTGCCCCTGACGACCTTCCAGTGAGACAGGATGTAGAGATGGAAGACAGTGACACTGATGAATCTGCCCCTGTTAACATCTAGGCCAATATGTGTGCCTGTGTCTTGGTTTTTAACAAAAACAGTTTTGGAAAAATAATCTAATTTTAAAGAAAAAAAGTTAATAAGGACATAAAAAAGATATTTTTATATATGTATACACTCTGCTTGTGCTTTAAATTATGTCAAAATTTTAATTTTAGAGTTTATGAAGTAGTTACAGAAAGCTAAAATTAAAGAAAACAATTTTAATAAATACAGCCTAAGTGTACACTGCTTATAAAATCTACAGTGTAATGTCCTAGGTCTTCCCATTCACTCACCTCTCACTCACTGATCCACCCAGAACAACTTCCAGTTCGACAAAATCTACTCACAGTAAGTGGCCTATACAGGCATATAAGTTTTTTTTTTTTATCTCTTATGCCATATTTTTGCTGCACCTTTTCTGTGTGTAGTCATGGGTGTCCAATCTTCTGGCTTCCCTGGGCCTCACTGGAAGAACGGTCTCGAGCCACACACAAAACACACTAGCACTAACAACAGCTAATGAGCTATTTAAAAAAAAAAAAAAACTCATAGTATTTTAAGGAAGTTTATGAATTTGTGTTGGGTTGGATTCAAAGCCATCCTGGGCCACATGCGGGCTGCAGGCTGCAGGCTGCAGTCTGAACAAGGTTAGTGTAGATTGTTCTAGCTACAAGAATACTTACTATTGTAGGTACAGCCACATGCTATACAAGTCTGTAGCCTAGGAGCAACAGGCTATACCATATATAGATTTGTATAAGCACATTCAATGATGTTCACACATCATTGTAACACATTTCTCAATATACATCCTTAAGAAGTATGCATGACCATCTGTATTTTTTCTTAACCACCAGAATTTCGGTTCTAATATTCCAAGTATTTCTACTGGGGGTTAAACAGAAAAAGAGGAAACTAGGAATTGGAAATATAAGGAAAAGTTTACAAAGAAACCTTGGGAAGAACAAAGGAGATAAAGGACATAAATATGAGGCTACATTCTTATAACAGGAGTGATGGATAAAAATGGACATGAAGTTAAGAGGCTAAAGTCAAGAGTACTGTCATAAACTGTCAGAGGCAGAATTAAGGTCTTAACCTATGAATTAAGAGACAGGATGTAAATAACAAGAACAAGGCTACCTGAAAAATTTTTTCCCCACTCTTAACAACCAATTTACTATTTCTCTAGGATCATGATTCCCAAAAGTAAATAATTCCCAATCACAAAAACAAAAAAGTATTAAACATTTAGATAAAGGATAATTTTTTTAAAGCCTTAGTATGCATATCATCTGCAAAACCAAATCAAGGTATAAACAATCTGTTTAAACAGATTGGGGCTGGCTGTGTGTGGTGGCTCACGCCTATAATCCCACAATTTGGGAGGCCAAGGCAGGTACATCACCTAAGGTCAGGAGTTTGAGACCAGCCTGACCAACATGGTAAAACCCCATCTCTACCAAAAAAAAAAAAAAAATTAGCCAGGCATGGTGGCAAATGCCTGTAATCCCAGCTACTCAGGAAGCTGAGGTGGGAGAATCGCTTGAACCAGGAAGACAGAGGTTGCAGTGAGTCAAAATTGTGCCATACATTCCGGCCTGGGCGACAGAGCAAGACTCCATCTCAAAAAGAAAAAAATATGCTCCCCAAATCTCAAAGAAAAAAATTACACCAACTTCATAATACTTACATTTATACTGTCCTGCTCACTACTGAGATTTAAGTTCAGAAGTTTTTTAGAACAGAATAGTTTGTGTGCATGATTTTTAAGTGCTTTGTAGTTTTATTGTAATTTTAAGCATAGTTCAATTCTATCTACTTCATATAACACACTCACAATACTTCTTATCTGCTAGTTATCTACATTACCTTAATCATTAACACTAGTAGACTCCTAAGTCTGTTAGCTCCCTATAACAAACCTTCTGTTTCTCCTGTTTCAACACACTGAGTCCCCTGGGGTCATCCTTCTTGTGATAATTGGCAGGTGTGGCAACTGTGTTGTTGTTGATGCTGCTCATTGAAGTGACAGTCGGAGCAGTCCCTGGTGGAGTTACACCCTGAGATGGCATGGGAAACATATTCTCAGATTCTCACTGAACTCTGATTTCTTCTGCATATTGGGAATGACTGACACAGAAAGCATTAGGCTCTAAAACATTAACATTTTACTCTTTAAAAATGCATTAATGCATAAGAAACAATACTAGTAAGTAATAGCTTTGTTAAGGCAAAAAGTACAGTTTCTGAACTCGCTTTTTAAATTATTTCCCAAACAAAATTAGTTTTAATCTATTGTATTACGTGCACTTATTAAAGGTATATATTTTATTAAAATTTATGCCAGGTTTATGTTGTTTTAAAATTAATACCATCTAATTCTTTGTGACTCTTAATGTTTTTTACTAATTAGTAATTGTCAATGATCTGAAAAATAAGCACATTCATGTCTTCTTACCTTTGATAACACTCAATCTGAACATTTTTTAATAAACCTCTCTTGTATTTAAAGCCTATCCCCATTACACTCTCTCACACACGTTCCAGGCGAATAAACACAATTAAAGATTCACATAACCATTAACTCCATAGTTCTCTTCTTTTCTTCTCAAATGCCTTTAACAGGTGAAAGTAATACTGTATTACACAAACCGGTGGGAAAGAGATTTCCCTAATTATACTTACTCATATCCCATTTGTTCTGTCTCAACAGAAAATAAAGTATATTCAACCATAAAATGTCTTTTAGTAAGATCCCTGAAATCCCTGTTCTTTACAGCCCCTCAGTCTTCATTAAAAAAAAAAATCAGTATTTTTTTCCTAGAAAATATGTCACCATCAAATGTCATATGGAGGACAAAAATGAAATGCAATACATTTAAGAAATTTAGAAAATATCTCAAAAATTCTTTAGAATTGAACACAAATGAATAGATCATAAAACTTCAAAAATAACAAACCACATTCAATCCTTAAAAAACCACTACTACCACTAATTGGACATTAGGTATTTAATAATACAGAGTTGACAATTTCCAAACACAGCTAGTAATTCAAAGAACCCTATTTTGCACAATAGTCAGTACTTTAGTATCATGTGCCTCCAGCTGTCAACAATACAGGGAGCATGCTGAATGGCTTTCAGTACTAGCACTGACAACAACTCAAGTGAAGACACTAGAGGCCATTAATGAAATGAAATGTATTGGTATGCACCTGCTGTTCCCTAGGACTAGAGTAACTACACATCTTAGTGTGCTTAAGGAGGGTATCTGTGTATGCCTGTTATGCAGGAAAAAATACTAAGATTCCTTTGTTCTAAAATAAAAGGGTTCCTAAGTTTCCTTGGGCACCTTATCTATGATCCAAATCAGAGAGCTATTTCCCAAAAAGGAGCCCACACTTTAGTGATGGTTCAAATAAATGAGAATTGTTTTGTCACAAATAAATGATTTAAACTATAAGAATAACATGGACTCAACCACTGTACTTCTGAAGCTGGCTCCATTTTTTACCCTATAAGATGACCACAAAACTTCAATCACTTCCTTACTTACATATTCAGTAATCAAGGTCCTAAAAAGTTTAAAGAAATCAACAAAATAACATCCCATTTTTTTTCACTGTGTTCACAACACATAAACATCCAAGAATTAATAGCATCTGTAAAAAGATCAAAATCCTCAAACAAGTGGAGTATACTTATACAATGTATTTGATATGGTTTGGATCTGTGTCCCCAGAGAATCTCTTGTCAACCTGTAATCTCCATTGTTGGAGGTGGAGCCTGTTGGGAAGTGATTGGATCATGGGGGTGGATCCTTCATGAATGGTTTAGCATCATCCAGTGGTACTGTTCTCCTGATAGTTCTCATGAGATCTGGTTGTTAAAAAGCGTGTGGAACCGCACCTTTGCTCACTTGCTCTTGGTTCCTGCCATGTGAGACATCTGCTCTCCCTTTGCCCTCCACCGTGATTGGAGGTTTCCTGAAGCCTCCTCAGAAGCAGAAGCTGCCATGCTTCCTGTACAGCCTGCAGAACTGTGAGCCAACTAAACCTCTTTTCTGTATATATAATACTGTCTCAAGTACTTCTTTATAGCAATGTAAGAACAAACTAGTACAGTACTTAAATACCAGTGTACTTCTTTTTGCAAAGGGATACTGGAAGTGGGGGTGGGGAAGTGAGGGAGTGCGGTTAAGAAACACTAAAAAAGAAAAATTACAAAGTTTTAAGACTTGCTATCTCTACAATACTTGAGGAGAGTGCACCAACAACTGTGATAGCTATTGCAGAATCTGCTGTGAATATTAACCAAATTTTTCTAAGTTGATTATCAAAAATGAAATTTTGATGATCAACTCTTTAAAGTAAATGTGACCCATAAAATGGTGCTAATCTGAGGTGATGGGTATGTTAATTAGCTTGATTGTGGTGATCATTTCATAATGTATGTATATACTGAAACAAAAAATAAATGTGTAGGGAACCACTATGAACTTTTCCACTACTCCTAAACACTAAATAAAGCTGAAAAGGAAATATAAATGCCATCCAGAGAGTTCTATGTTAAATCCTAGGTTGTTATCAGAAACTCAGTTAAAAACTAAACCGATTTTGCTTAAGTTAACATACTTTTAACAACATACTAATAAATAAACTAAAAGAATAAAGGGCGGAAAGATCTCAGGGAATTCGCTGTATTACAATCATAAGATAAAAAGTGTATTTTCCACTCTATACTTTTAAAAATATACATCACCAACATAGTTTCCAACACATTTCTGTTAATCTTGCACATTTAGAAATGTACTTCAGCAATTGTGTAAGTCAGGATTCGGCATCATATAGCATTTTATCAGTTCATCGGAAGTAAATTAACAAAATGTTTATCTATTCATCACACTATCCAGGAACATCCTAACTTCTGAAGACACAAATTTCATGCTAAACTAAACAGAGAAAAGGGATACTAACTACTAATTTTATCTACAGATACTAGAAAGAAACCAACATGTCAAAGATACTATGATTTTTTTTAACAAGTTTTATCAACTTCATCTATAGAGAATACAGACCCAGAAACAGCAGGATACAATTATCAACAGGGTCTTATTACCACACAAATGAAATACTAAGAGGTGTTCTGTTAACTTTAGACATAAAAGGTTTTATCCTTAATTGTTAGAAACAAAAACTTATTTTATATTTTGTCCTATCATAAAGACTTCAGATTTGGTACCTTGAGATTTCATATTTTCTATAAAAAATGAGATGCAACATTAAACTCACAACTTGCAAGTCACATAATCAACTAACAACCTAGACAGAATTGGGTCCGTGCCAGGTTGCACTGAGTTTAAACACCATTTCTCAGTAAGCAACATTTCTTGTAAAATGTGGTTAGTTAATACTACAAGAGTGAGTTTAAGCAGGAAAAGCATTTCCCAAAGTATATTTCATAAGTTAATTAGATTATATTAAAAAATAAATACTGGGTTAAATACATTTCTTTACCATTAAGTTTTTTCAGAGCTTTTAATAGGCAAATACACAATGTGATTCCTTTTGGAGACATTTGCAGTATTTTTCCAAACTCACCTGACTACAGAACGCTTCCAGCCTAATACACTGGACAACTGTGTTTTAGCCTTTCTTCAACATACACATTAATCAATTAAGGTCACTTCTAGCCTCAATACTACAGACACGATTTTTGCACGTTTGAATTACGTAAATTTGAAATGGTGATATGTTACAATCTTTAAGTCTCATTTTATGTGCAAAACTTGAAATGTAAATTATAAACACTCAAAAACATCCATCAAAAATCATAATGGCAAGGCCAGTGAGCCATGAAAGTTGTAAGTTATGTTTATGTACTGCTATATTGAAACACCACTTCAGCTGGTTCACAGAAGTACCTGCCTATTCTTCTCAGCAATCAGTATTGGATTTTGCATATTTTGAATTACCCAACATAAACCAACCATAAAATGAAATCATTACTCCAAAAAAATAAAAGGATCTACATCATCCTATATACTGCTGACACAGTTTTATCATTAAAATTTTACCATTTGAAGAACTGCCTTCAGATGAAAAACAGGCCTCCACTCTTATCTTGGTCAAAAGATGAATAGAAAGTTTGATAAAATTAAAAATCAATTTTGTCACAGGGTCCTGACTGACTGTAGTCTTGAAACACCATCTCCCACTAAAATGGCCCTGAGCTTCCTGAAGAAATTTTTCCAGATCTGGACCTGGAAAAATCTTGCCACATTAGACAAGAAAATTACCAAAGACTGCGAGGGTCAAAAAAAACTCAAGAAATCAATTTGAAAAGTCTACTTACCAGGCAATTTGAGTACCAATAATGGTAATTAACAAGGAGTTAAAACTCAAATATGTTTAAATTCATGAGTTTTAATAATATACAAGTACAGAGGGAAGAACAAAAGGACGGAAGGAGGAAGATCAACTGTACATCACAGGAGGGATGCTTACAAACAAACTTATTTTTTAAAACCTTTAACCGAAGAGAAACGTGGGCATTTGTTCTGTGCCTTTTTAAACTCTACCACTGAAAAGTACTACATAAGCACAAGTTTCTCTTTACGGAAGTATTCTAAGTAGTGTATGCAGTAGGAATGACAGAGTATCACCATCAATCTTAAACGAATTAACAGACCTAGGCCACACTATCTCAATCTCAGCTTTACTGACATTTTGAACCAGATTATTCTTCGTTGTGGGGGCTGTTTTGTGCATCATAGGAAGTTGAGAGGCATCTCTGGCCTCTGCCCACTAAGCAGATAACTGCAGCACCCTTATCGACCCCTCAGTTGTGAAAACCAAAAATGTCTCCAGACATAGTCCCTAGAAGAACAAATCGATTGCCCCTGGATGAGAACCACTCATTTTGAACTTTCAATCATAGAAAATACCAGGGACAGAGAAAAAAGGTTAAATGACACCATAAGGATGGAATCAGCAAAATCAAGTCTGTGGGAAAGTCTATAGGCAAACCTAGTTTAATAATAAAAATATACAATAATTTGCAAAGAGAGAGAAAGACAGAGAAAATACAACAAACTAAGAGATTTAAGAAACATATCATCCAAAAGAAGTGTAAGACTCAGCCAGACGCAGTGGCTCACACCTGTAATCCTAGCACTTTGGGAGGCCGAGGCAGGTGGATCACCTGAGTTCAGGAATTCGAGGCCAGCCTGGCAAAACTCTATCTCTACAAAAATTACAAAAATTGGCCAGGCATGGTGACGTGTGCCTGTAATCCTAGCTCATAGGGAGGCTGACGCAAGAGAATCACTTGAACCCAGGAGGTGGAGGATGCTGTGAGCTGAGATCGTGCCACTGCACTACAGCCTGGGCAACATAGCAAAAAAAAAGTAGTAGTAGTATTTGGACTTTATTTTCATCTAATTCAAACAAACTGCAGGAAAAAAAATTTTAAAGACATTTGTGACTAGTTTTAATGCTGCCTGGATAGCTTGATATTAAGGATACACTAAATTTTTAAAGGCATAGTATTATCATTAAAACTCTTTTATCTCTTTTTTTTAAGTACTTTGAAAGATAGACATTGAAACAGTTACAAATCAAATTACACCAAGTCTGGGATTTGCCTTAAACAATACCTAAGATGGGAAGTAACAGGATTTATATGTAATAAGCTTAACCACAAACTTGTCATTGTTAAAGCTGCTCGTAAGTTCACAGAGGTTCACTGTACTCCTCCTATCTACTCTTCCAGGTGCTTAAAGTTTTTCAAAATAAGTATTTTTAAAAATCATTATTTTTAGCAGATACTGCCTACAATTTAATATACAAGTCCAGATAATCCAGTTAGTGAAAATACATTCAGCAGCTAGCTAATCAAGGCTCAGAATCAGGTATTATCTAGAGTACTTTGAAGTTACTTAACTTACAGGTTACTAGTAACATGTGCTCTGAAAAGGTTTCAGGCTCAAACTACTTCTGCCCGAGTTTCTTGGCAGGGGACTCTGGGAACTCCATTCAGTATTTGTTCAGGTGCTAAAACAGACCCAAAACTACTTTCTTGGATTACCATGGGCTAGACAAATAGGTAGGCATAACTGCTCTTCTCACCCAAGATGTGTAAATGGCTAGGTTCAACTGCCATTGCCATATCATTTCCATCAACTTCTGGTTAGGTTCCCAAACCAGTGAGGCCACTCTTAATCAGCAGTATCAAACACCTGGGGTTCCAACGCTTTTCACATATCTCAAAGTATGTGCTATCTAGAGCATAGTAGAAGCCCAGACAGAAGACATATTTATGTTAACTAAATTACCGTAAAAAATGACATAAAACTCTAAGTAAGAAAATATCCAAATTTTTTTTAAAAGTCAATCCGAGTCACGGCACCAAAAAAAGTAAATAAAAATAAGTAAATAAATAAGTCAATCCAGACAATGTGCTGTTTTGTTTTGTTGGTTTCAACAGTAATACCTGTGGTGCAAGCTATCAGCTTCCCTCAGCCTAAGCAAAAAATAAAGAAAACCTCCAAATGGGAAGCATACACAGGCCAACTACCACTCACTTTACAGAAAGTATACACATTTGCATTTTTTTGCTTTTGGTAAATACCTCCAGAATCACTTAAAAGAGCCATTTCTAAAATTCAAAAAATAATTTGGTCAATACCTAATTATCAGAGACATCTTCATTTCTGCTTATCCTGAAAGAGGAACACAGTAACTGAGCCCATGTATTTAATCTGCATGTTTACTTTTCAATAGGGCAAATGGCTACCAGATTAACGCAGTATTCATGTCAGACTGCAACCAAACTGTGCCAAACAATTCTATTTATCCGTATTATTGTATATATTGTCACACACACAGAAACACTTATATTTCAAGTCTCTCTTAGCATAGGAAAAATTCAAATTTTTGAATTTTCCTGCAATCCAGACAGGAAAAAGGACAAGATAAGTGACCATAACCCACTCTGTACATTCACAGATTGTTTGTTTTTAAATAAATGCATATATCCCTCAGTCCCGAAAACTGTATTTTACACTAATGATAAGCAGCAATAATTATTTACTAAAGAATAACAATCAGATGGATTTCACTAAAAACAAAAGTGACCAAAATACCAGGGAACAGCCAAACCTGGAATAAACAGTCTATGTAAACAATTTTTTTATCCCCAGACTGCTGGTACATAGTGGCCAAAAAAGCAATTTATATGTATTTTTAAATTAAGTATACACATCTCATTCTAAAAAAGAATTTGTAGTGGGTTTAAGTCACAAAAATTTGGTAGACTTAAATGGTTCTTCTCCAGGATGGAGTCTAGACCTAAAAGTGAGTCTTTCTTTCTTCTTAAATAAACAAAATGTTATCAAATTTAAAAAGGCATACCAAGTTTTTTAAAACTTAAATAAGCACTGAGTCTTATCAAGAGAAATAACCGTATCACACACACCACAAAGGCCAAAAATAGAAGGAAAATTAAAGGAATTTCAAAGGAACTGAAAGCTCAACAGCTTCCAGTATTTTTACATTTTCCTACTTACCAATTTATCATTTTCATTCGGCATTTCAAATACACATCTCAATTTGGAATCCATTAATTCATCAGGTTTTGCCTCTTTCCACTAAAAATAAACAAAACCAAACATGAGACATACAGGGTATGATCATGGTAAATAAGTTTCACCCAGGACAGCTAAATGATGAGTGTAGCTGCTTGGCTTGGCTGAAATACACTGTTGCACTCTTTATCGATCACCCTGCCATTGTTATCGGCTAATGTCACAGAACCTCTATATAGTCCTAGAGTTACTATCGCTATCCATTAAAATCATGACGATATCACTAGCAACCACAGAACCTTCTTAGTAGCAGCATTTCTTTCTTTTCTCTTTTATTCCAATTGGTCTTGTTTTGTCTCCCAGGCTGGAGTACAGTGGCCCCTCCTGGGCTCAAGCAATCCTCCCACGCCTCCTGGGTAGCTGGGACTACAGGCATTCAACACTACATCCAGCTTTTTTGTAGAGACGGGGTCTTGTCACGTTGCCTGGGCTAGTCTCGAATACCTGGGCTTGAGATATTCCTGTCTTGGCCTCCCAACGTGCTGAGATTACACAGGTCAAAGCCACTGCACCCAGCTAGTAGCAGCATTTCTAAATTGTTTCTTAAAAAAAATACTATTTGAAAATTGTTTCATTCTGAAAATTATCTATAATGAAGAAATTGGCAGATTTTTTAAAAATCTAAATTTAACTTCTAATTTTTAGAAATTAGGTTTTTCTACTGAGTGCTAAACAAAGCCCACAGTTTAAAACTCCATTCCCCAAAATAAATTCTTCTTCTGTACTTACCACAGCTTCCATATCTGAAGTGTTTGGTGGAGCAAAAATTGTCTGTACCATAAACTTGTGTTTACTTTTTTCATTTGGATCATAGTCAAAGGGCTGTAGCATTACTAAACAAGAAAAAAAGAATATATTAAATTATCTCCTGCATGTTTGAAAGATATACGTTGAAACAGTTACAGAATAAACTATACCAAGTCGGGGATTTGCCTTAAACAATATCTGGCACCAGTATCATTCCTTTACTTCGCATACATGCAAATTTAAAGAAAACCAAAAACGGTTCAAGAAACCAAACTTTGGAACATTTAAGAATCCAGAGTCAACTTAATGAATTCCAATTAGTTTTAAATTGCCTTTCTACTTTACTAAGTCTTTCAAAACCAACAAAATAAGCAGTAGCAATTAAAAATTAAATACAAATCTATGGTTGCCCTTTCTAAACTTAGCTTGTGAAAATTTTCAAAACTTTGCCAACATGTAACTATGGTAATGCCTATCAGCTCCGATTAAATCTTCTAAGTTATTAAAACTAGTTATAATATGAATTTAGGCTTCATTTCAGTGTTTTCTGATTTAAAAATTATACAACTGGGGTATTTAAAGGAGAAATACTCAGTAACTTAAAAACTCACTACCACATATTTTTTGTTTTAAAACAGGGTCTCACTCTGTCACTGAGGCTGCAGTACAGTGGTGCAACCCCAACTCACTGTAGCCTCAACCTCCCCGGGCTCAGGCACTCCTCCCATTTCAAGCTCCTGAGTAGCTAAGATTACAGGCCCCCATGCCCAGATAATTTTTTGTATTTTTTGTAGAGAAAGGGTTTCGTAGTTTTGTCCAGGCTGGTAGCGAATTCCTGGACTCAAGAGAACCACCGTCCTTAGCCTCCTAAAGCACTAGAATTACAAGTGTTAACTGCAGTGCCCAGCCCATGTATTGTTTTAATATAGTTGATTTTTCAAAAATGTCTTTTAAATAACATCTGTTTCAGTTTATGATTTAAATCTTCTAAAATAACAGAAGTACACAAGGAAACCATATAGCCTCTTAATTTCTAAAATTTATTGTACAGTCTCAATAACATTCAAAATTTTTAAGCATTTATAATTTCTCATCTTTTAATTTTTCCAAGGTTCCATGTGGTTATAAGTCATGCTAAATTTATGTAACATGAGTCCAATATAAGAGACTAAAGAATAAATCAACGGTTACACAAAATATATATATGGTATTATAGAAGTTACTTCCCTAACATTAGATTACTTCTAACATGTATCTCCACACTTTCAAAAAGACAAACACAAGGAAATAAATGTAAGAAAAAACAATTACATAAGAAAATCTTATTCATAAAGTGTGTCTGAGAAGTCCATTAACTGATATCAAGGTTAAGACCATTTTTTCAAGGGGTCCAATACACAGCAGCAGGAAATGTACAAGATAAAATGCCTCAGAATACAGCCTAAGCAAAATAAAATTCCATTAGCAACCTTCACTGAGCAATCACTACAAGCTAATCACTATGAACCGACAATTTGTGAATAAAAAGAAAACTTACACATGGTTAAGTTTATAGCGGTTACACTAATTTAGGTTGCAAGCCACATAACAAGACAAAGACGATCTCGAAAACATGTAAAAATGTGGACAAATTAAAGAAGCAAATTCAAAAAGGAACAAGCGAAAAAGAGAAATGAGCATGCAGTACAGAAAATTAATCAGAGGTTGCTGGAAGTAGCATAGCTTCGAGTGACTGCAAATGGAAATACACTACACTAAAAATTGAAAAAGCTAAATTCTAATTGGAGTAGGCCAATCCAAGGGCATGCTTGTGTAATCAGTAACTAGTTTGCCTGAAGGTTTTAGTAAGTCAGGTTTCTGTGGGAGAAAGTGCCTTGATATGTAATTTTCAAGAAATATAAATACACAGAAACCAGCAATCTAGGTGCACCTCAAAGAAAAAGTCATTCTGCGTAGTTGCATGGATTCCTAGAGATATAACTGAACCAATAAACTATTTTTAGCCATGTGGATTGAAATAATTATACTTCCTGGCCAGGTGCAGTGGCTCACACCTGTAATCCCAGCACTTTGGGAGGCCAAGGTGTACAGATCATTTGAGGTCAGGAGTTTGAGACCAGCCTGGCCAACATAGTGAAACCCTGTCTCTACTAAAAATATAAAAATGAGCCAGGCATGGTGGCACATGCCTGTAATCCCAGCTACTCAAGTGGCTGAGGCAAGACAATTGCCTGAACCCGGGAGGCAGAGGCTGTAGTGAGCTAAGATCACACCACTGCCTGGGTGACAGAGCAAGACACCATCAAAAAGAAAAAAAAGAAGGAAAAGGAAGGAAAGTGGAGGGGAAGGGAGAGGGGGAGGGAAAGGAGAAGGAGGAAGAGAAGGGGAAGGGGAAGGGGAAGGGGGAGAGGAAGAAGGAAGGAAGGAAAGGAAAGGCCAAACGCAGTGGCTCACGCCTATAATCCCAGCACTTTGGGAGGCCAAGACAGGCTGGCTCATCACCTGAGGTCAGGTGTTTGAGACCAGTCTGACCAACATGGAGAAACCCCATCTCCACTAAAAATACAAAATTAGCCAGGCAAGGTGGTACATGCCTATAATCCCAGCTACTTAGGAGGCAAGAGAATTGCCTGAATCCAGGAGGAAGAGGTTGCAGTGAGCCAAGGTCGTGCCATTGCACTCCAGCCTGGGCAACAAGAGCGAAACTCCATCTCAAAAAATAAAAATAAAAAAAGAAAGAATTCTATCTTCTTCCAATTGTGCTACAGGCTTAAACATGTAGTAGAGAGCAACATCTAGAGTGCATGCAATCCTTCATCTTATTTCCCATCTCTCTTTCCCAGGAACTTATGAATTAACACTTAGCAAAGAAACATGAAAAGCACTCCTCCCTGTTCTCCTTACCTCAAGACTCACTAAAACATCTTTTTCCTAGCTCTTCAGATTCTGGACTATACCTGCTGAGGGAAGATTTAGTGTCACCAAGAACTCTGACTATGGTCTGTCCTTCATGGCCTTTGCAGTCAAGTTCCACCTCTAAATACTCTCAATAAGCCTATCTTAGGTTCTTACTCTCTGTACCCAATTCTGCTATGGACTTGCAAACTGATAATTGAATTATTATAGTATCTTAGGATTACTTGGCAAGATCACTCAGGTTTGTTTTTTTGTTTTTGTTTTTGTTTTTTTTGTAAATGTACACATTTCTAAACCATGCTCCCGGAGATTCCGATCTGGGAGAGATGAATCCATGTGTATTCCTGCTCCCTGTGTTATTACAATACATAGCGGGAGTTGAGAAGTAGTGCTATAAACAAAGAGTAAATGGTCTCTGTGGGCAGCCTGAGAGGTTCTCTCATTAGTAAAATACACGGAACCATACATGTTCTCATATTTGCTTCCTACTTCTCAGCTGTATTAGTGAAATCAGAGGGACTGAGAAAAGAAAGAAAGAGTTTATAAGGGGCATTAGCTCTGGTACCAGTATTGACTGCATAGCAGGAGTAAGCAATCTATATATGGCAAGCATACTTCTTTGACAAACACTTAAGAGAGTAGTAAAAATAAAGTTTTCACAAGCAGGACACTGCTGACACTTACAATGAAAGGCATAAAAACTTATCTGATTTAACATAGTAGGCAAAAAAGAGGCATTGTACCTTTTATTGATACTTCTATAGCTGCATGCACTATGTAATATGCTCAAGATCTGAAGGAAAATGACCAGTCAGAAAAATGATGTAATTTTTCAAAGATAAAATAATAAAGAAAGAGAAGGTAGTGGTGAGCTGAAAAAAATACAGATACAAAGTTTCTAATTCACAGTAATTTCTTATAAATTGACCACACCCCTTACACAGAAGATGAGAGTGAGGAACTTTTTTAAACAGCTTGCATATAGTATAATAACAAGACATCCTTAAAGGCAAAGGCAGGCTAACATAAGAATTATTTCCCTCCCTCCAGATGAAACCTTATTAAACAAAAACATAACCATAAAACGTCAAAATTCAAATGTACATAAATTTAGAACACGATTTGCTACCTGAAACAGTCACAGTTGACCCTGGGTCAATAATTCCACTGTTGGGTCTCACACAGTACCGGCGAGGTGCTGTAGTCTTCACTTTGAAACACACTTTTCTATCCGATGGATTTCGCAATTTAAGATTTGTAGTGACTACATCTGTGAAGGGGCCTGTAAAGTTTAAAAATTAAACAGAAATCAAAATTTAATTGGATTCTCAACAACAAAGGATTCAAAACTAAAAGTATATAATCTCAATTTTCATTATGTGTTGACATCTACAGGCATAAATATCCCAAATGGCTACTAACACTACCTTTCTCCAGGTAGTAGACTTAAAAACAAGTCGCATTTTCTTCTTCATTCCTTATATTTCACAAAATTTCTCCAGTAAACATGTATGATTTCTACCAAAAAAAAAAGTACTGTGAAACTTTTGATCTATGAAGTCTACAACTGTATTTTTACAGTACGTTACCACATTGCTGAAAATATCAATTTCCCAGTTGTCTGCAAACCAGTGCCAATCTTTATTTTACTAGGCCAACTGCAAAAATCTCTACAGCTGAAGACCCTACACCCTATGACATCAGTGCTTTTGCTTCAACTCAATTTTGTTGTTTATTCAACCCATTCATTCATTCATTCACATATTTAGTGTTTATTATGCCATATGCTCTAGATACAAAGTTAAGCTTTGATTCTGCACCCAAACAACATAAAATTATAAAAACAAAGAACTCAAAAGGCTGATCCATTTTGCTGAAGGAAAGCCTAAAGAAAACTTACGCAGACTAATTTAGACAACAAAATAAAATACCTGTTAATTTGGAGGCAGAAGATAAAAACATGTTCCAGTTGGAAGCAATAACCACAGTTCTACCCATTAAAGCTATATATATTTTTTAAAAAGCTAGAGAGCAGGAATCAAAGAAAACTATTATAAATGCTGTCTTTTACTTCAATATTAAAGAATAAGCATGTCTTTTAAAATTTTACAAAGGCAAGGTTATTAAAAGATGCTTATTTCAAGCCCTGAAGTAAAATGATTGTATCCTATGCTTCAAGTCTTTGAGTAGTAAAATATTTTCTAAGAAATAAAAATTTGGAACTAGGATGAGAGGAAGGAGATAGAAATCAGTGAAAAAAATTAGAAGAAAACATATAAAGGCAGAGAAGGAGATATAGAAAAAAAGCATTTTTACAGGTCTACGTATTTCTTTTTTTTAAAAAAAAAAAAAAGCATACATATCAAAAAGTATGATCTTCTGAACTGCCTGTTTCATTATATGGTCAAGCTAATCCATTCCATTGACAACATACACCTTTTGCTGCTTCTTCAACTCCAGGTGCTTGCTCTTTCTTTTTGAAAAGCATCTGACTAACAACTCCACCAGAAAACTAGTCTGAGAGCAAAGATGAAAAACTCCAAATGTGTCCATTTTACCACATGAATCCACCAAATGGCTGGCTGGAGATATGCTTTGAAGTGATAAAACCAGGAGTCTTAAAGACAAATTCCATTTCTTAACATTCTCAAACACTAAGTACTACAGACACTTGAAAATGTAGATTTTTATAGAACTATTTTGACTAGGACTTTAACAGTAGCAAGCATAGATTAAAGATCCAATTTCTTAGTAACATGACGAAAGAAATGCCACAAAATTTTAATTTTGAACAAACCTAATCCAGAACGTGAATAATCCACAATTTTTAATTACTTACTTTCAGAACATAATAATGTAAGTTTTTAGTATTTAAATGTTTTATTAATTTAAATTCTCCCCAATTTTAAAAAGAATCAATTATCCAAACTAAGGTAAATTTTTTTAACTGATTTTTTAAATGACTGTGTGTCAATTTTCATCAACAAACTGTAAGAACTGTATGAATTCTGAAATAGTATTTACATTTCACGATATTGCCCAGCAGGGATTATAAACTGTCATTACAAATTGCGGGCTTTCTAGACATAAAAATATATATATTACCTAAAGATGATGATAATGTATCAAAATAAATCCCACCAATTCAAAACAAAACTCTTAACTAGACTTTTTACACTTGTGAGTAAAATGTATAATTACCTATAATAAACCCACCTAACAAATGAATTGGAGATTTTCTGCTACATTGTATCCCTCTAACCAAGCCTCTCAATGAGGGTTGCTCCCAGCAGACAGTTCAGAATCTGAGCTCCTCTCCTAGTTTAAAACAGGAAATTAGCAAGTACTGATGACCATTAGCAAAGGAATGACCAGATTTAATAGCTAAAACAGGTCTAGGAAGAAATAACTGGTCCACTTCTGTGAGTTACAGAATCCTTAAAGAACCTGATGAAAGCCATATCCTGCATCAGAAAAACATACATAGGTAAATATTCACAAAAATTTTACAATGACTTTTGTGGGAGGTAAAATGAGTTGAAGAGCTGGGTTCAACTGATTTAAAAGGCCTGATGAAATCTTAAGATCTTCAGAAAAGAGAAGTTATATATATACCTTACTAAAAGTGCTACAAACACAACCCTTTAGGTGATACTGCCCCTTACAAGGTATTTTCATTAGGCATTATGATTGGGTGGTACTACTGAGGTGGGGAGTAAGGGGTGAGAAGTGGGCGGGGGTGGGCAGGAAACAGGACAGCAGGCATTCTGCAATGCAGACCCATACAATGAAGTATTATGTTCCCACTGCATTAAATTTTCAAATACGCCTCCACAAATTATTGGTGAAAACCCTCTTTTCCAAGTATTCATCTATTATGTGAACAGGAAAAATGTGTACTCTTTTCTTCAGAATGTTAAAAGGTAAGTTCACCATTACAGAAGATTATTCTACCAATAGCAATGCCACTCATAATATCTGAATCACCAATACAACACAATTAGCAGGCTTTTGCAGGTGAGACATTCACATTGATCTACCTATATGCATAAATATTCATAAATATCCTTATTTCACCCTTTTATCAATGTTAAGAAAAACTGTCAGCACTACTCAGATAACTCGTCTTATTTCTCTTAAATCCAAACGTATTCATCTTAAGTAGATACAAACACCTGCCTACTGTACCTACAAACTTAAGCAGGGTACAAATATCTGACTACTTCATTATGTCTTCTAGTGTAGTCATGCCCATTTAAACTTAAAATGAGTATGCCATTATAAAATTGCTTTTTTTTTCCTTATGTTATAGCTAGGACAAATATATTTTAAATTTTTTAATTACATGTTTGTCATTTTGTATACGAATTTCATTTCAGGATAGTAACGGGAGCATTACAAAATATACAATGAGGTATGAAGTTAGAGTTAAGAACCCCTGAATTAAACCAATAATCTCCTGCTTTGGTAATTGAAAATGTATCCTTTGTAATGCTTAGGTGATTAAACCATATGTACCTATGCAACAATTCTGCATGATCTGCACATGTACCCCAGAACCTAAAGTACAATATTTTAAAAAGTATAATAATCATAATTTTTTAAAAAAAGAGAAAGAAACAAGTGGCTACCATAAAAGTCAGGATAATGGTTAACCCTGCAGTCGAAGTAGTCGGGAGAGGGCATAAGGAGACCTTTGCTGAATGCTGGCCAAGTTCTATTTCTCACCCTGGAGGTGATTATATGAGTATTTACTTTTTGATTAATTCCTTGAACTGTATACATCTTTTCTTTATGCAAAACAATAAAAATGTTTTTAAAAAACTGATCCTTGACATAACCTTGAAAAACTGAAAAAAAAAAGTGAAAAGCAGTTTTGACAACAAAGTGAACATCTGATGCAATTTATGTAGTAGACAAATATTCATGTTTCAAGGATTTCTAAAACTTAATCTCTATAAATGAGGGAAATCCTATCATTTATCCAATATAAATGCTTAGTTTAACATTTATGAAACAATTTTTGAACTAGTCCATTTTAATCAAAGGTATTAATACAAACTTAGGTTAGAGATGTCACTATTTATAATCAACTATAATCAAATATAAAAAAAACAAAACTGCATACAAGTTACATTTATTTGCACTCTTATACTGAAAAATTCTACAATTAAAATACTTCTACCTTTCAATTATGTGGTTGTTGTTCTTTGGAAGCCCTACCATTTTCCTGCCACTAAGTATTCTGTTGCAACTCTTCTACAGTTGTCACTGCCATTAAGCCAAAATCCTACTCCTAGTCCCAAATTCTTACAATCAAACAGAAATCATACACAAGTGTGGCCTCTGAGTTAAAAAGTCTGAATCTAAGTTTTAAAAAATCTTAGAACCTGAGATGTCAAAAATATTAGAAAATTTTAAGGCAGCTCACCCAGAACGCAGTCAAGTGAGACTGGCCTGCCTCCTTTGCCTAAAAACATTTTTCCAGCATGAAATACCCTTTTTAGTCAGTCCATATCCATAAAATTCAACCATTCAGAACAATGTCTTCCTTTTAAATAGCAGGACTTTTATTCTCCAAACAATCCAATCTTAAAAGGAACCCTCCTAACCTAAGAAGAGCTAAAAAAAAAAAAAAAAAAAAAAACCACTCTAACAGTGTTTAAAACACTGTTATCATTCATCTATATTTTGATGTAAACTACTGATAACAAAGTTATCTTGCAATACCAAGATGAGTTCAGCTGCAAAGAGAATCAACTGTGGAGGAGAGCAACAGCTAGCTTTTCCCCCGACATTTTATTATGAAAATTTGACACAGACATTGAGATAATTATATAAACACATACACTCATCACTCACATTCTACAATCAATATTTTGCTGTATTGACTTTGCAGCATAGCTATCTGCTCTGTTCAGCCATCCACTTAATTTTTGATGCACATCAAAGTAAGCTGAAAATGTGAGTACAGTCACTCCTGAACACCTCAGTATGCCTATCATTAACTTCAGTATTTGTTTTCTGTTAAGAGAATACAGTTTTAATACAGGATAAGCAGTAGTATATCACACAGGGCATTTCAGAAATCGCTTCTAAAATGTAGCTTAAGAATAAACAGGCAAGGTACATGAACATTAATTTATGAACTCTGTGACACCCATTTAGGCTAGCTACTCAGAGGTGTGTTTGAGAGACAATTCTCCATGGACCGCTATCATTTCTGCACATCTTGCAAGCAGAAGTCCTGGGGTTTTTACCCAGACTATCTTTTCAAGGATG